ATGTCACCTCGACTTGTTATACTGTTTCCTCGGTTGAAGCCCGAGGGCAGGGGTGTCTGCCCTCCTCCCTCGCAGGATGAATGCAAGGGCGTCTCACTGCAGAAAGGACCTCGGTGCTCACTTAGGCCCGGGCAGGCAGCGTGATTGATGCCGGTGGTTGCGTGGCTTTATGAGTCGCCAGGCCAGGATGAGGGCCGGGCCTCCTGACTCCTGGCCCACGTTTCGTTTCCACCAGTTCACACTGTAATTCTGTGTGAAAGCGTTATTATTGTCCTACTGATGTGAGGGAGTAAATGGAGAGTGAGCACGGGGAGTCTTGGAGCAGACGAGTGTAGATTTTGAGGTCCTCTTTGGGAAAGGTATGTCAGCAACGTCTGTGTGTTTAATAAAAGATATTGGATCATCTTATCACTCTCGCCCTTGAGTGTATTGGAGAGAGCTGGGAGATGATCGGGGGAGCTGAAAGCCAAGGCTCCATCCTCATCTCTAAACTCTCCATTAACTAATTTAAAGGATCTTAAAAGCTTCTCCAAGAGAGACTTAGAAAAAAATGATTTCTGAGTCAACACTAATGAGTCCAATTACGGAATTTGTGAATAGCTGTTCCCTGGCTTCTGGATGTCAGCCCAAGTTCAATAGCATAGATGTGGTTAGGGTGGGGGTGGTGGGGATGACTGAGGCCCCCCCTCTGGTGACTGTCTGAGTGGGAAGGATCAACCAGCCTAGGCAGTTCAAAGGTGGGCAGGTTTGCAGGGGTGGGGGAATTGCCCACGTTTCTGTCTCTGCTGCCCACCCCACCTCTCCCAGCTTCTGAGTGCGCCCTGCCCCCGCTTTCCCAGCACGTTCCTCTCACCACTGGCCCGAGCTGCCTCTAGCTCCAGTGCCTTCCCTGCCCTCTGCTCCCTTTCCAGGGCTGTCCTGCACATGGCCGCCTCCCACTGGCGGCGCTCCTTGGGAGCAGGGACCTCATCTCGGTATTCCGGTATCCCCACCCTTGGTGCTATGCCCAGTGCAGGGTAGGGACTCGATGCACGTTGGCTAAAGCTCAGGGTTTTAAGCCATGAGTGCACTAATCTCTGCCAAAAAAAAAAGGTTTCTGTGGTCAAATAAGTTTGGGAAACGCTATACCAGACGTCCCCTTTCTATAGATTCACGATACGCGTCAGCATATTCAAGGTTCCAAGAAGTCCTGCAGTAAAGAACTGGATTAACCCGATGTTTCCCTCACTGAATTGAGCACAGAGCCCAATTCCCAGCAGATTGCTTTTGAGCCTTCGTGGGGCACCCTCTGTGCAAAATGTCACCACCTGCCCTCCCCGTGGAGCCCCACACCCCAGCCCCTGCCCTCTGCTTGTCCTTTTAGGTTCTCTGATTGTGGCTTCCTCCTAGCCATGCCTGGGGCCAAGGGGCAGTTCAGACAGTCGTGGACACTGGGTGTCCTGTGGTGATGGCCCCCTTAATTGCCACACAGTTACATACTGGTTCAATTTGGGGTACCAAAGGTGGGGGTGGACAGCTTATTTTAAAGCTGTCCAATTTAAAAGGGAAGGGCCTCTCCTTGTGGAGAGGGAAGGATGGAAGAGTTGTTGGAGAGGTATCGTCAAGGGACCAGAAATCTTTGGCTGTTCAGTCACTGCGGCTGCTGCGATACTGCCCCAGGGGATGGGCCTCCACCAGCCCGGGAACTGCTGTGCTTTTGCCATTACAATTCCGTTATTAATGACTCATCATCAGTGCCCTGGGAGGAAATGTGCGAGGAGGACAGGGAGGTGGCCCTGTCAGCAGGGCCAGCCTGGGTCAGGATGCTGGGTGGCCCAAGTTTCAGGGCTTGGTGCCCTCAGCAATGAGACCTTCATGCGGAGCTCTACTGCCTCAGTTTCCCTATCCAGAGATGCTGTTTTCAGTGAGCCCTGGCACTACTGTGGGAACAAGGCTATTTGGTTCACTATCTCCAGTGCAGTGCAGGGTACTTAGTAGATGTTCAGTAAATATTTATTCAGCAAATGAGTGAGTGATAATATGCATCTCCCCTCTCCTCCCAATGCCTAGCACCAAGCCTACCAAGCACATAGTAGGTGCTTTAAATAATTTGAATGAATGAAGTCTGTATACCCACTCCTCCCACTGTTGTTTTTTGTGCTACTTCTGGCATTTATTCAATAAATACAAAATGTTTGTTGAATGGGTGTTTCTGATCATGTCCCACTCCTCAGTTGAACCCAAAACTTGGTGGGGGCTAGAAAATGCTGACCTGTTTTCCAGGCACACACTATGTGCCAGGTTGAACCTATGCTAAGAAGCCCTCCTCGCCTTTCTGTCTTCTCTTTTTGGGATTTGGTTCACTCCAGAGTCCCAAGGGTAGTGGTTGCCACCTCACTCTTGTTTCAGCCAGAGGAGAGGTAGGGTCAGTGAGCTGCCAAACTGAAGTTGGGTGACAGACAAGGAGGCTGCCTGTCAATCTCTGAGCTGCCCGCAGGCTCTGGGTGAGCACTGTATTGTACCCCTGGTGCTGGAGAATAGCTGACTATTGATAAAAAAATGTCCCTCTGTGCTTTCCAAATTAAGACGACATTTAACTGAGTGCCTGCTGGCTCCCTCAGTCTCCCAGGGGACAGAGCCCATCTTGGTGGAAACTGTTTTGAGCATGTCCAAAGTCTCAGCTTTGACATCTTGGCTGATGTCAAGAAGTTTCTGTAACCTTCCTGTTCAGCACACCCAGTTCTGTCACCATACACGCTGTCTCACTCTCAGCCTGTTACTGGGAAGAGTGCTGGCATCAGCATGCCGGGAGGGGACGCATGGTACAGGGGAGAACACCGACACTCACAAACACACACCCCAGCCCTGCTCGAAGTTCAGCTGCCTCAGAACAGGAACAGCTCTACCCGTGAGTTCTCCAGCTCGTGCGGGGGAGGCAGAGCTGCAGGCCTGCCTAGAGGGTCGCAGTGCTCCGTAATCTTATTTAGGTCCTAGACCCCTTTGAGAATCTGATGAAAGCTCCTACGCCTTCTCATAGAAAAATGCATATCCTGCCAATTTTGCACACAGTTCAGTAGGTTCGTAGATCCTGAAGCCCAACCAAGGACTCCAGGTTAAGAACCCCTGATATCGTAGTAGACTGCCATTCTAAATCCCGTATCCAAATCCTAGCTCTGCCATGCACCTGCCTTGGGCAAGTTGTCCACCATTTCCTTCTATATCCTGGCTATAAAATGAGGAGTTGCAATAGATAAAGTTTGGACTCCTTGTGACTATAATTGCCCTGTCTGTGGAGGTTTAGATAGTATCTTGGAGCAATGCTGCATAACCTTTTATAGGTCACATGTTCCTTTTAGAATCTGATGTGAACTTTTTATCTTCTACCTAGAAAATGCCTATATACAAAGTTTTGCCTAGTGTTCAGGGGGTCCAAGGACTACAGATTTAGGGCTTTTGAATTAGAGTGATGCAGTGGTCCCGTGTATCCAGTGATCCAGTGCCAGCTGTGGTTCCAGCTTCCTTAGATTACTCCTCCCCATCTCTCTGCCACCCCCTAACATCAGCTCTGCACCAAAAATCCACTCGTAATTGGAGGAGAGGGGATCCAGTTTGGTCTACCCTAGTACTTTGGTTTTCAGACTTGACTTTTACATAATGGAACTATTTTTTTCTAATGAAGTCCTACCTGGAGCTCCAACATGGATAAAAGGGGACTCTGAGCATTTACTGACCTATTTATTCATTCATACACCCATTCAGCAAGGATTCATCAAGTATCACTTTGTGCCAGGCACCTGGCTGGTCAGGCTGGAGACCCTGCCTACTTGGTTTCACCCAGCCTCT